TACCACAGCACAGAAGGATACATACAGATATAATAAAAACGCTCTCAGTATCATGTAAGGTACAGTACAAGGTTCAGTGTTTAGCTGCGACAACTGCCAGTTACTTGCAGTAATCTGTAGCTCTAGAATCAGCTCCAGCCCTCCCCACCCCCATTCTTATTGTGCTACTTTCCTCCAGCAACAGCGAAACTTTATTTACTACCAGTAAGCATTTCTGTACTCATATTTTCAATTCAAGAACATTGTCTTGAAAATATGTTGCAACACACTGTTTTCTTTCCACACTCAAGGAATCACACATAGCAGATGGAATGGGAGCTTCCCAGCTCTGTTGAAGATGATATGAAATGATTACAACTACAAAGGCATTTGGATGTTCTGAAACAGTATTGCAATGTATCAATTTTTATAAACATTCATCCCTCTTATCAGAGTATTCACTAGTCATTAATGCCTTAAACCTAAAAAACACTTACGCACTTTACCGTAGCTGATCCTTCCATTATTACTCACACCTGTAAAATTACAAAAAAATTATGCAAGTGTTCATGAGACTGGATCCTATGATCACATCACTGAGCTAAAACAGACCAAATGGAGATAAATAATATTCTACAAATTCACGTAGCCATTTCTATCAGAACCTCACCTGTTTTGGTTTGATGTGTACATGTGTATTTAGCTATATATAAACCCAAAACTTGACAGTATAGAAAGCTTTCCAAGTTACTTATATATTAATGCAAGAGCTGTGGACGTATTTTGGAATATATCTTGCAATTATTCTTAAGAGCATGCTTGGAGTTTGTGAGAATGCGATAACATGAGACAATACAGCTACATTTCTTGCTTTCATTAGAGAGCATATGTATTTAAAGTATTTGCATAAATTTTTCACTTAATTGGGCTTTAAATATACATGATCTGGATGGTATTTCTAGCCAAATGTAATAAATTGCAGGAGCAAATTTAGTCAACTGTTACAAATTACCATTTAGAATTTTTAATATTAATCTGAATAGATACATTAAGGTAGAATTTAGAATTAAAAAACCAAGCTGGCACACTGTTAGCATGCCAAATGAAAATATGGCAGAGTGAAAAATAAACAAATCCAACTAATTGGTTCTATATGTTGAAACATTAGAGACCACGAGAAGCTTTTGTACTTAGATAAAAGATTAGCCTGAAATACACTTCATACAGTCTGCAGTTCATAAGGCTTCAGATGTATTACGAGGCAGTTCATCGGTCCCTTTATTTTTGATTTATGCACCTGATTTGGTGATGCTTCCTCATGCAGAAGCCAATTATGGTGAACATAATTTGCAAGGAAGATTTAATTAAAGGTTTCTGGTCACTAAATAATTAGATGATGTTCCAAAAAGACCAAAACCAAGGGTTACTCTACATTCAGTGCAATAGCTCTGTGCTACTGCATTGAACAATATGGGTTGATCCCTGCTAATCCCATTTTGCTGCTCATGGATGAATGATGCATACTGAGATGGTACTGACATCACATGATGAAGGAGCCTGTGTACGAGACGAGACTGCATACAAAAGGTTAGCTGACTCAGGGGTATCAATGCACTGCAAAGAAACCAAAAGTTATGTATCTATTTTTATGTCTGTGAACTACAATGGGACAATTTGTTCCACATCTGTTCTTTGAGTCTTGAAACAACCCACTCAAAGCTGAGCTAATGACAAGATGGGCCTCTGGATGGGAGCAGCAGATACTGGAACTCACAGGCAAGCGTGGGAGAAAATATATTTGACAAGGGGCTGAGCAAGACAAGTTATTGCAAAAGGGTCATCATGAGGAAAGTTCCCTGGTTCTATGTACATGTGATCTACACCTGGAATTGCTGAACTGTAACTTTACTATAACGATTTTACAGGAAAAATGTGAAAATCAGACGGAGAGATGAGCGTGTATTCCAGGTCAGCAGAGACATTACGTTCTCTGGACATAGCCTCCACCACCTCTACATTCCAGTAACATAGCCGTTTCCCAGGAAGGAAAACAGCTAACATATATAGAATGATAACCTTCAATGAACACAGCCATCAGCATGGAATGACAGGAGATAAGACAAACAATTTGCTAAAAAGAAAAAAATAAAAACAAAATGACAACAACCATGGGAGAAAATTCTGCTGTAAAGACCTTCAGTGTTTTGAAGGGTCTAGCCTTGCCTTCTGGCATGAAATGTGTAGTTGCAATGCCCTTCAACTCTCATTTTTCAAGTTCATGACGCAATAATGCTTGAAAATAAAGCACATATGAAGAACCACTTTCTGAAGGCTATTTGTATCCCTGACAACTTTGGTTCTCCATAGATAAGATATTGGCTTGCCTTTCATTCACTAGACCAGGCCTTTTAAGTTTCTTTAAGAACAATTCAAAGCCTGTAAGCTGGGCACATCCGTGTTTCTCTGTTCAAAAGGGTAAAGGAGCTGTTTATTCTTAAAAGCAGGACTAGGGAGATGGTTCCTCCTGCCTTCTGAGATCAGCACTGTCGCAGTAAAGGATGCACTTTCAAGATCTTAATGCAGTTATCACTTTATAAAATATTCTTCAAGGAACTACATCCTCTCATCCTCATCTACCTGTCCCAGCTGGATATTTACAGTTAGTACAGACTTCTTAGCACTCTGATTTTAAAAAATGCCAAGGTAAATCTTTGTCATTTAAGTACTCCTTTATAAGCAGTTTCTTTTAAATGCCCACTGAAGGATTTTTTCCAGGCTATATTCTCCATCAAACTTGTCTTCAATCAAAAGAGAAAACCTGTTTCCTGGCTGTTTTTACCAGAAATTGTTGTTGCCCAAACCCTGTAATCTAATGACTACTCCTTCCAAAATATCTTCATCTCTGGGAAAATTAGAGCTTCCTTTAGAAAAGCAGGACTATGTAACGCAGCAAGCATTTTCCAACCCTGCTTTTTAAGTAAAATAGGGTTGGAAAGGCAAACAAAAGAAAACAAAAATCCACAAAAGTATCCCGTTTATCTCTGCCAGATCAAAGATATGACAGATACAAGAGCATTCTGGAAGAATCCAAAAAAGGAAGCAAGAGTCAGCAGAACTGTTTTAATGATATAAAATGATGAGTTAAAGATTATGCATAGCAAAAGTACAGTTTATATTTCTTCTTTCAAAAGGATCGACAACACCTCAAGTGTATCCAGAAAGACTCTACTAAGGCATCAACAACATTTTGCATGTGTAAGCACAGCACATACCATATCACAATATTAGCATACAAGCTTCCTTTTGGCTAATGAAACAACATGGAAAGCAAAATAAAAGGAGCACTAAAAGCTAAATAAAGAATTTGCAATTAAAAACATTTTCTTGAATGGTATTTTTCTCACTTTAAGTATCTGCTGAGAAGTTAAGCTTGTCACAGTTTGGCAGCAAGCAAGCAGAAGACATCTAGGTATTACTGTCTGGGATAATGTTCAGATAAATACTACAAGCCGCAAATGGATTCATACATGGTTTAACATGGCATAAGCTCAGGCTTCTGTAAACAAGGTACTGTGTTCTCTCTGCCTTGTGCTGACACTCAGGACATGGTCCAGTTTACAGTAAAATCTTTCCATTCTTCCCAGATTCAGTTTTTAAATGAGTCAATTCAGCAACCCAGATCACTACATTCACTGATGCTGAAAACTTTTCATGCTCATTTCTCAACATAAAAGTAATATTCTTAGCACTTATTTGCACAAATGAAATCAAATGTTATAGAAGTATATACAGGTCTGAAGAAAATATGCATCAGTAACAAAGGTGAATACAAGTGAAATCATGTGGGACAACTTAGTATCTTTTAAAGTACATAGTAGATATCAGTGCAAAAAACCTACAATTATTGATTTAGAGTAGACCTGTTCTACCAACACATACAAAGTTGTAATAACCATTGTTTGCCAAAATATTGGGTAAGGTCCACGATGAAAACAGGACAACAGCAATGAACATACCAGGGATTATAGGTAAAAATGAAGACATGAATAGCTTTGTTTTGCCAAAAGTAAATTCTGCTTCCAAAACCTTGGTATGCAACCCATCTTAGACAGGGTTTTAAAAGTCTTCAGGGCAAATTCCATTGCCTCTACTTCCACTCTAATTTCCAAGCCCTGTCAGTTTTCAGTGGGAAAATTCAGATTCATTTATTGGTGTGAAGTGGAGGGGGGAAAAAAAAAAAATCAGATCACTTGATACTTGAGAAAAATCTTAGATGTCAGCAGAGCGAAAAATAACACTAATCAGCACAGAAGATGAAATATGACTTAAATGCTGCAGCCCAGGAAACAGAACAAAGCAACAAAACCTCTTCCAGTCATTATTACTGCAGATCGCACTCAAAGCAGTATCATCATTAACATGGACTTCACAGCAAGCAGTACATTTATGGGATCAGCCAAAGACTTATGTAAGAATACACAGGCAAACTGGTTATCCTGAATGTTTCTAGTCACCTTCGTTTTGGTGAAGAGAAGTACTACTGAGAGACATGAAGAAATGACAGAATTCTCAGACTAGTGCACTGCATCACCAATGGTAAGATAAGCAGCTTTATTTATAATACTTAAGCAATTAGTATTAATTGTATTACAAAATAATGATTTTGAGAGAAGACTGAATTTGAAGCCATATGAAGTTGATGTGAGACCCACTAAATTCATACAGTGGGTTTGTTTACTGAGAAAGCATCTATGATCCTCGCTGCACACCACATGAAAAGCTACACTTAGGTAGCTTTTGATAAATAGCTGTGTAACAGCTCAATACCAAAGCAAACCAGTATATAACAACATATCACCCTGATGAAAGAACTAGGGCAGTCGAATATAAGATAAATCAAAAGAAAGGCTTAGTGAGGAAGTCTTGGCAACTGTGAGAACTGAAATAAACCCCAGCAATGTTCACTTGAGTGGGGCCTGACAAAATGCTTATATTTTCCAGAAAGTGAAAGAAATGCTTACCGTTATCTTTGCTGCTGTTTTCTTCAATGGTCATTTGTTCTGCTAGCTCAGACAACGATTCATCAATGGTCTGGCTTCCTCGCAAGGTCAGGGAAAGTCTCCTCTTGAACTTTTTCATCCTATCGATATTGAGTCTGGCTTCAAGAAGCCTGAAACAAAAATAAAAACAAAACCAACTGAGAAAAAATTAGTTCATCACAAAATGAAATTACATTGCCTGACATAAAAGTGCAAGAAGGCTTACAGGTAATTTAGGCAATATGCAAGTTATCCTTAAAAAGCAAGATTACTCTACTGGACTGAAGAATGATGTCTTGAGAGGTAGATGCCCATACACTTTTGCAATTTTTATTTCTGTTTGGAAAAATGAGAATCTTTTGGGGTTTTTTTTAAAAACAAAACAGCTAATTTGATCACTAACTTTACAATACAATAAGAAAACAAACAGAATAATAAAACAAAAATAGAACAAATCTGAAAACTTGATGAGTGTGTGCTCTGTGGCCTCCTCCACCAAACCCACTGAGCAGGAGGAGGCTGTAACCTTCTCTCTCTTTCAGCCCATTTGTTTACGGATGAGAAATTACTGAACTGCTCTATATTTTGCCCTTTTCACAAAAGGAGGAAGGAGACAACTCTGAAAACCTGAAACAGAAAAGCATTTCTCAAACCCGATCCCACCTAGGGAAATAAGACAGCCAGGGCCTGACAATGACAAGAATAGACGTTTCTCTACAGTCAAGCAGCAAGACTAAACTGGGAAGAGAGCAGAAGGCACTTTACCCATGGAAAGTGGTAAGCAAACAAGCCATAACAACCAAGGTCCAGCTCAATAAACATGTTGCCACAAGTCCAAGTTGGTAGGTGAACTTTGTGGTGTGCCATATGTTAGCATTCGCATGACAAAAAGCACAATTCTGTCCTTCCTTACTCCATATGGACAATTCACCCTACATGTTATTTCACAATAGCTTGTCCATCTGCTCATGGCCTCCAAGAATCACATATGCAGTGTCCAACACAAGGACAGCATCCTTTTAAGTCTGAGCTGCTCATATTTTTCCCCCTTCAACAGTGCCTTTGGACTCCAAAATGCGTAATTCACATACAAAATTTTTAAAAAATACACTTAATTTTCCTCAATGTCATCCTATAAACAGAGAAACGCAAGAAGACTTACATTCAATTAAGATGCTAAAGATTTACATTTAACAATAAATTGTGAATATGATTGCTTTTATATTGACAGCATCCCTTTAAGAATGCGTATTTTCACCACGGAACTTACTGTTTGTTTAGATGTTCCATAATAAAAAGGAGAACAAACTGGTGGAACAAACTGTGGTGGTAGAAGAATACATACAAAGACAAAACTACCACAAGACTAGATTGCACAGGACACAAGTAACACAGAAACATTAAGGCTGGAAAGGACCTCTGAGATCATCAAGTACAACCTATGACCCAACACTACCATGTCAACTAGATCATGGTAGAAGTGCCATGTCAATTTTCCTTTAAACACCTCCAGAGATGGTGACTCCACTCCAATTCATTCCCATCTCCCCCAAGAGACACAAAGAAATGGATAAAAGACCACCTTATGCATATTAACTCCAGAGTCTGAGATGAACAGCTTCATGCAAGAGGAAAGAGGTAAATTACAAAATACGGTAACAACCACAGCTAGTATAAGCAGAAATAGTCAGGCACAGGGTACAGATACCTAGGAAAGAAAATATACACTGGAGATACAGTTCAACCAGCAGTTTCTAAACTGCCCTTTTAACATATTGCTGTATGTGCGATAAAGCTATGCCTGAGCCTGAATAATTTTGCTCTCTCACTCAAAAGCAGGATATTCTTATTGTTAAGAAACTGCATTCAGAGAACATTCCACAGGGAACATTTACTTTTCCTGTTCAAGACCAGCTTTAAAGACCTTACTTCAAACTGCTTTTACTTCTGCAATTAACTTTTCCAAAACAATGACCCATGTTTTTCTTAAGAATGAAAATTCGGAAGGACACATCATTTATGTGCAGTTTTACTCAATTCTCCCACAACATTCTTTGGAACCTGCATCTTCCTACACGTCTTAGTCGCAAAAAGGAGACATGCAATTTTTAGCTATGTAATGCCCTAATGCTGCCTGACAGTACAATTTCTTCCCAGTTCTCCACTTGGGTAGTAAGTGAAAAAACAGGTGCCTTTATGGGGGCACAGGCTGTTCCTGGCTTTTGATCTTGCAAATATTTAAGCCTACACAATTTGTAATCAAAAAGGTCTACTGTGGAAGAATATTACATTAACTGACACATGTTTAGAAAATCCAAGAGTCATTCTAAATCTCAAGCTAATAAAAAAGCATTTTCTTACAGTTACAACATTCCTCTTGTTAAATGAGTGGTTCATGGAGTGATGAAGTATCAGTTTTACTAAGATTCTGAATTAAGTTCACAGCTTGATTTTAACAGTAGAAAGAATTTAACAGTAAAAACGAATGAGTAGGATTCCACATGTGAGTAAATGCTTCCTTCTACTGAAGGGCAATTCAAGCTTTACAAAGGAAAATATGTTCACAGATATGAATCCAGATGTTCCTCCCTTAAAGTACCAGTATTGCTGATTCAGATTTGTAAAGGGGAGGGGGGGAAGGAAGGAGGAATGATTAGTATGCAGCAGCTGGAAATGTCCTATCTTTTCAACTTGATTCTCACTTATGGCCAAAGTTGGAGAACCTGCTAAATCTTGGTAGCTTGAGGTAAGACATCAGTGAACAGAGCCTTGGAAATATGATGCATACACTCTAAAGCTAGCATTGGTTTTCTAAAATGACAGCAGTTTCACAAAAAAAAAAAGTCCATTTTAATTCAGTTTACTCATTTTCCTCAATTCATAACCGATACATACTTATCTCCCTTTAACAGTAAATCCAATTTAAACCCAAAATGGAGGTCCTTGATTAGTAATATACATGCATTAGCTATGATTAGATGTAGTAAGACTCACGATGTTACCCCAAATTCTTAATAATTATGAGAAGAATATACTGTTATTTTTATATTTAGTTTTAGAACAGAACCCACGGCTTGACTCTTCTAAATTTATCTCCTCTGAATAAGGCGTACTCAAATCAAACATTTTAGATGTCACAGCAGATAGATGCATGCACTTGAATGCAACTAATGCAAACTCTAGTCTTCTGCAGACAGAATGAGGACAAGCAATCAGATACAATACTATCTGATACAACCCACAAAGGCTGACAGACACATATTCGTTCAATCCTTACAGGAAATGAAGGAAGCAACAATGTATTAAAGGAACTGTTGCTTCTTAAAAATGATTTCCAGTCTAACCCTGAAAAGTTGGTCTTCTCATCTATAAAAGCTCTTGAAAACAAGGCCAAAATATATGTTTTCTGTCTTCCACGTCCACTGTCATTAACTCAATTCACTTCAATAGTTTCAAACCCCTGTCTTGAACTCTAAGTCTTCTAAAAGTAATCTCTGTAATACAGTTGTAAAAACAAACTCCAGTTTTTAGATCATCCAGTTAAGATCAGATTTAAACAAGTGGGCTCTGGCTTACTTTCTCTGAACCAGACCAACCCTTCCCACAATGCCTGTAGTACAGCACTTCCCATTTAGCCCACACAGACGTTCACAATACCTGGGCTGTATAGCAGGCAGGCATTAAAGTATTTTGGTTCCAAAGCGGTAACTCAACTAGATTCCTCATATATTCACCAAAAATCAGGTCTTATACTGCCGATGGCTAAAGTTCTCAAAACCCACTACCCCTTCCTAGTACCTAGAAAGCCAGAGAAAGGAATGCATAACTCTTCATACACAATTAACATTGTGTGCTTAATCCTTGTAAGTTTAAACAAATTCAGCTAAAATTTTCAAAACCAATAAAGCTAGTTAATAGCTTATATGTAGTCAGTCATTTCAGGAGGGTCACAAATGCCTAAAGCTCACTAAGATTTTGCCAATTCAAAACCCTTTGAAGTCAAAGGGAACCTGTCCTTCAACCTAATAAATTCTGCATCAGTTTAAGTGCTGACTCTTCTGCTTCCAGAAGTTATATTGAATTCAGATGCATCTACATAGAGATTAAGCGTTTTAAAATTACTGTTCCAGTTAGCTACACACTGAAGCTGCTATTTGACTGTTTTTACAATGTGCTTTACAAGGCAGTAGGTATTTTGCAACCATATAGAGACAGTCCTTGTTCTGAAAAACTCACCTGTAAGATGACAACTGAAGTGAGAGGAAAGGAGAGGACCAGAAACCCTACCTAACAGCATCACATGAGCAACAGCATGGACACAGCATGGTCCTTAAGGTTGGGTTAACAAACTAAAGCCACAGGCGTAAGACATGGAAGAAAGTAGGTAACAGCACTCCTTATGAACTCCTTGTGTCTGAAAAGCTGAGAGTGCTGCAAACAGTTATATTAAATAAAAACAGAAACAGGAAGCACCTGTCAAGGACACTGTCCCCTTATTCTAAAAAGAAAACCAGCTTTCCATCATGTTTGCATTTACTAAATTGTTCTCAATCTACCTGAATTAAAGAAAAAAGAAAGGCTATTGATCACATCAGCACATTGCACATCAAATACAGAGCAAACTACTTAATTACACAAATGAGAAATATATGGATAATTTATCCAAGATCATAAACCACCAATTTGAGCAGCCATAAAATTCACATCTAGTACAGATGCACTTCCTTACAATCACAATTCTACTCTACAAGAATGGATTATAAATATGGCATCTTAGTCATTGCATCTGTTCTTTGTATTTGTCTCAACTCACATTTGTTCACATCAGTGAAAAAAATTTTCTACTGCATTTTTCCATGCTTGGCCTTCAGAAACAACAGGAGACTGGCCAACTAGATTCCCTTATCAGGGACAAAGCTACTTAAAAGTTATTGGCTTTACACTGCAGTGGGTCAAAGAACTGACACTGTACAGATAGAAGCAACATCTGACAAACAAGGCCTTTGTTACTGATGAAGGAAAAATAACTGTGAAGTCAAATACCACAGTTTAATTTAACCTCCCAAGTGAAAAAAGGGCAAAATGACCCTCATAGCATTTTCCTTATGAATAAAACAATATTCAA